AGTTTTAACATAAAGTGGGGCAACATTGGCATATTATATTGTTGGTGGGGATAGGTCATTTTGATCTATATTCATACAGATTACTAAAGCCAGGATGCTTTTAGGATGACAACTTGTTTATTCTATCATGTTGTGACGTTTCAGTATAGATCCTTACACCATTGTCTTGCTTGACAACAATATGAGGATCCATACTGAAATATCTCATCATTAACAAAAGCGACAAAACCCTCTCCACATCTAGAAGAAATCTCTGTTAAAAGCAGAGTCGATTGTACATTTGTGACAGTATCATAAGTATATATTTGTTTCAGTAGTATTACAGCTGTATGATGTTAATTTTTAAACAAATCGAGTCTTCGACATGCAACACTCAACCCATACATTGCATGGCAACAGCACGCAAACGCGTGTACAATTGTGACATGCTGAAGTTGTTATCCATAAAAATGTTTTCTTTTCATTGTTAAGCAACAGCTTCTAAAGCTTCTAAAATGCCAATCAAACAGAGTGCAGAATAACAAATTTTGTTACCAATCAATAGGTATTCATTTATATCATGATATGTTTTAGTGGATATATTGTTGCTAAACTTTCCCACCAGTGACGGCCCTGTAGGATGTATGTAGTTACCTAGCTCTGTCAGAGGAACCAACTTAGGCATGCCACAATCTGAAGAGTGTGTTGGCAGGAGTACTTGACAGGATTACTTAGTCGCATCAAACGATCCGCCATGGTCAGTGATTGTCCGAAACCCATTGACCATACAGTCCTGTGAATACCGGCCCTGATAACACATTACATAGATGACCTGTGTGGGTCTGTGTCAACTGCTGGTCACCTGTATGATGCTGATTATATCATCAGATGATTGTGTTTCTGCGTGACTGGTCACATAGGAGATTACACAACCTTGACCTTTATACCTGTGCTAAATATTGTTGATCGGCGTTCTAGAAGTTGGTGAGTAAATAGTGAAGCATACAACTTTGTGGATATGATTCTTTTATCTTGTTTAACAGTGTAAGAATCTACACCAAAATGCAGAATTGCTCTACGCAATAAACAAGGAGTTCATCCACAAAGTTGTATGCCTTGTTTCTGTGTTAAATAATCCCTGTCCCGCCTGGGAGTGTATAAAACAAGTAGGACTTGTAAGAAACATTTAAGGATGGTGTAAAACATTTGGAAGTTGTATGAAACATATTAGTATGAAATCTTTAAGGGTTGTCTAAAACATTTAGTAGTTGTTTGAAACATTTAGGGGTTGTGTAAAACATTTGGGAGCAGTATGAAACATTTAGGGGGTGTGTAAAACATTTGGGAGCAGTATGAAACATTTAGGGGTTCTGTAAAACATTTGGGAGTAGTATGAAACATTTAGGGGTTCTGTAAAACATTTGGGAGCAGTATGAAACATTTAGGGGTTCTGTAAAACATTTGGGAGTAGTATGAAACATTTAGGGGTTCTGTAAAACATTTGGGAGTAGTATGAAACATTTAGGGGTTCTGTAAAACATTTGGGAGCAGTATGAAACATTTAGGGGTTCTGTAAAACATTTGGGAGCAGTATGAAACATTTAGGGGTTCTGTAAAACATTTGGGAGTAGTATGAAACATTTAGGGGTTGTGTAAAACATTTGGGAGTAGTATGAAACATTTAGGGGTTGTGTAAAACATTTAGGAGTAGTATGAAACATTTAGGGGTTGTGTAAAACATTTGGGAGTAGTATGAAACATTTAGGGGTTCTGTAAAACATTTGGGAGCAGTATGAAACATTTAGGGGTTCTGTAAAACATTTGGGAGTAGTATGAAACATTTGGAAACTATATGAAACTTTTAGATATAAAACATATAGGATTATTATGAAGTATAAAGGGGGTGTATAAAACATTTGGGAGCTGTATGAAATTTTTATGTATAAAACATGGGATTAGTATGAAGCATTATGGGAGTGTATAAAACATTTGTGAGTTATATAAAACATTTGGGGGTTGTATAAAACGTTTTCATTTCTAAAGCCTGATGTAACCTCCAAAGAGTTGACAACTTGGCATTACCCAGGCAAGTTGTTGGTGCACATTTCTCATGCTGGTGTTAATAGTGATAACATGTGCTAATTATAATTTCCTCATGGTTACAGAATGTTTGACATAATGTTTGACAGTGCCCCTGCTGTGTTTGAGGCATTGGTAACAGTGTATGCAATGGATGGCAGTTTGTACCTAGGTGGGAAGTATGTTGTAGGTAATCAAACAGATGATAATTGCTGCCAAATAGCGTTGACCTTATCCTATTTCTACTGTGTAGTGAGTAGCACTGGCCTGACATTTGTAGACACAGTGGCATGGTGCTAGTGTCAGATACAATGGACTCTGTGAGTACAACAGGTTGTATAGTGAAACCATACCACTGATTGCTTGATGTCTACTGCTTTATCACGTTAAATAACACCAGGTTCCTTCATATTACTTTCGTCCCTCTGTCATGCCATATAGTAATGATATGAAAGTAGTGTGATCTTATTATTACAACTGTTTCTCTAAAAACTGAATTTTTTCAGTGTTAATGAAATTTTACCATTTTTTTTATGTGGCTTGAAGAATTTGTCAATTTTCTATTTTCTGTGATAGAAGTGCTGAATATAATATTACATGACATGTTATTTCATGTTTAATGATGTCAAGGATATTTTCGATATTATTCTACTCAAAGAAGATAAAGATCATTCATTTTTTCATATTGCTATCGTTAGACAGTCATTGAAGGACATATTAACAGGAGCATGAAATAATTTGTTTTCAAGTGGTATATTTGTCAATATTGAAATGTGAAGAAAAACTATTGTCCTGTGAACAACTTCTGTGTTCTGTAGACCCATAACATGTTAGAATGTTAATTATGTCAAGAATTATGGACTGCTTGGCACCTGTACAGGTCTCAGCTTCCTCCACTGATTTTAGGGTAATCAGAAGTCTTCACGCGCAGTATGAAGTATGGGTTTAGTTAACAGCGTTTTGGTTTAGTACAGCGCCATAACACCTCCGGTATGTGCAGCATCACAAGATAACAACATTGTACTGGCAAGTAATTTTTATTTTAGTCTTCACAGTGATGTTGTATGTGACCAGATGTATTCAAGGTATATTGTATTCATATGATATGTATTTAGTTTTCAGATATTTGGTTGATAGTTTTCATAATAATTTGATTTGATGTGTTAAGATTTTTTTTGTTTTTTAGATATAATTTTGATCTGCAATTTGTCATCATCTGCATTAATGTTTGAGAACAATTGAGTAATCATGGCAACACGTCAGATTTTGATGTAAATGTAGAGTGCGAACATCATTTCCACAAAGACAAACATTTCTGGGTGTGTCGGCTATCCAGACAAACAGTTACTGAGATCGATGTGGCATGACAATATATATTTGAGACTGTAGACAAATGTGGATGTAGGCTGTAATAGGTGGCGCTGGGATCAGGAAGCATGAATCTCGCTGAGAAAATATCTGAATTAATGAGAGCACTCTTATGTGAAACTAAGCAATGTATTGAGTTGATAAGAAGCCAGGAAGCTGAGGACTGTTTATTCAGCACCCAGCTGTTGTTTCACCTTTGACATCCTCTGTATGAACTGTATGGCAACATGGTGGCTGGAGTATGCCATGTGACTGCATTAAACAGTGGAGTCAGGACCAGATGGATGATTATGTGGTGTGACAGATGGGATTGGGATGAATATTTACCTTGAAAATTGTCATTTGAACAAGACATGGTTTATGAGTCCTGTTAGTGAAGTGAAGGGCGTGTCTTCTAGGCAAGGGCATGGGGATCCACTATGTCACCCTGGGGAGAGTGTGTGTGGGGGTGGGTGTTGTCTTCCTATTTAGACTGGATGGGGGTCTTCCAGTTTAGTGAGGTCTTCCAGGCTAGGGGATAGGGTCCTTCAGTATGGTACAATTTGATTTGTTTTACTAACAGCATTAGGTTTAACAAATTGAACTAATCAGGTTACACCTTGGGATGTTAACAAGAATTGAAATATTTTATTTTCAGTTATTTTGAATATGAAATTAATCAACATAATCAAAAGAGAAAATATACTTGAATATGTGCTGGAGTATTTTATGTTCATTACTGTTGTTTTATTTTAATTATACTGAACCTAACATTTCATCAAGAACACTGTAGGGGTGGCTGCATCATCATCATCATCATCATCATCATCATCATCCCACACCAAAGGAGATAACATTATGTGATATTGGAAATGTATGCACTTGTGGTGGAATATGTTACTGGGCGCAACTTGACACTGAAACTTGCCTAAACAATATTTTACCTGCACTGTCTGGATATAGTGAAATCTGACCATGTCAGTGATGGAGTGTGGCTCCTTGAATCAGTACCTATGCATTGCAACACATTTCAAGAGCTCTGTAATCTGTGACACCTAGCCTAACACTTGAAACATTTCAGGTTTTTTAGCTGATAATAAATCATGTCTCAAGGGAGTGGGTGCAACTTGGTTGATAGGGTGCTGAAAGTATTCTTCTTTTACTGCAACACACCCAGCAGAATGTGTGGCCTCTTGTTTCAGCCTTATTCTGGAGACAAGTATTGCCATATTGCTGTTTTCTAAGGGAGTGTTAGGGTAGTCGAGTGGTTGCCATTAGCTTTTCTCACCTCAGTAAGGTTTAGATCCCCACATAGGTACAGTTTGATAAGGTCATTTTTATGGCTCTCATGTAGGTCTATATCATGTTTAGTTGCAATCAAGATAAGAACAGCATAATATACTCACTAACTTACTGTATCTTGGAGGACATACTTTCAGTGAACAGTTGCATGTTTGGCAATCATTTTCTAGAATTATGTTTTGTCCTGTTATAGACATAATCATTTAGAAATACTGACTACATTATATTGAAGTATAACTTTAAGTGAAACATTGTCCACTGTCAACCTTTTAATGTGTGTTTCCTTGTTTCAGGTTTCTGACCGCTGGCTGATTGCAGTATGTGATAGTGTAACAACATAGTGTGAGGACGTTGTGTGAGGACAATGAGCTGGTTCAAGAGGGGGAGTGTTCGGCAGGAGGGCCGAATGGCCGACTCCCCAGATCATGTGTCTGATCGGGACAGACGGGACACAGACCCTCAGACGTGTCTGGAAGTGTTCCGCAACCACTGGCAACAGGCTCTGAACGTCATCGAGAGCAAGAAGGATGGAAGCAAGGGAACTGTGGATGACATTGATACTGTAATACATAACTTTGAGCACATGGTCACTTTGCTTGTTGGGGAGGAAGGAATTGATGGAATGCCTGGACCAATATTACATTTTCTTCTTGAAAAAGAAGTGTTTGAAAAATTCTGTGCTTTGAGTATGCCAACAAGGGAAGGGCTTGGGAAACTGAAGTATGACCAGTTGCGAATGTTTGAACTTGCTATCAACCAATCCAAGCAGCTTCTGCTGATCCACAAGCCAGTCATACGACCGCTGATGAAGCTTCTGTCCTCCTGCACTGACCAGGCCATCCAGTCAGAGGAGATTGAGTACCGCACTGTCCTTGTGCTGCACCAGATCTGCGTCTGCATCTCGCAGCAGACGGTCATCCTTGAGAGCTTCTTCAACACCAACGCTGACCATGGTCCTGCCCGATTCCTCATCTTTTCATTGCTTATCCCCTACATCCACAGAGAGGGACCTGTTGGGCAGAATGCTCGTGATGCTCTCCTTTTGTTGATGGCCCTCTCCGCCAAATATCCCCACATTGGCCAGTACACCGCAGACTCCGATTTCTGCCCTGTGAGTTTCTTTGTCTTCTTTCTTGTTTAATATGTTCACCAAGGATAAATTGTCCTTATCTTGGATATAGACATAGTACCCTCCTCATAAACATTCTCAACAGTGAGACCATGTCAACTCAGGCATAGCAAACTTAAACTATATACCTGGCAAATCAATAAAGAAGATTGTCAAAATTCTGTCAGCTTCTTGAGTTTTTGCATACAGTAAACTGCTTTATCATTCTTGTAAATAAGATGGGTAATTTACTGAAACATCATTAAAAGATGTAATCATAGTAATTCAGATATGTAAAATATATTTCGGTTTGTTGTTTGCTGTTATCTCAGGCCATGTTTCTTGAAAGGTCACTGTGTCAACCGTATGTGTCAGTCTTCTGTATGTTCTGTCCCTGCTATTGAAGGTGTTGGCCACTGGCTTGTCGGGACTGTACTCCTCACTGCCACGCAAGATATCCCGCCCGAGCGAGGACTGGTACATGGTGACCGATGATGACATTGCCAGGATACCTGATCTGCAGATGTTCCTCAACTCACTCGAGTTCTGCAATGCTGTCATTCAGGTACATTCATATACTTTCAGAGATTTGTACTGCTGTCACCAAGACATGTATATAAATAGTGTCTGAACCTGCTAGAGATTTGTACTGCTGTCAGCAAGACATGTATATAAATAGTGTCTGAACCTGCTAGAGATTTGTAGTGCTGTCACCAAGACATGTATATAAATAGTGTCTGAACCTGCTAGAGATTTGTAATTGCTGTCACCAAGACATGTATATAAATAGTGTCTGAACCTGCTAGAGATTTGTAGTGCTGTCACCAAGCCAGGTACATAAATAGTGTCTGAACCTGCTAAAGATTTGTAGTGCTGTCACCAAGACATGTACATAAATAGTTTCTGAACCTGCTAGAGATTTGTAGTGCTGTTACCAAGGCAGGTACATAAATAGTGTCTGAACCTGCTAGAGATTTGTAGTACTGTCACCAAGACATGTACATAAATAGTGTCTGAACCTGCTAGAGATTTGTAGTGCTGTCACCAAGGCAGGTACATAAATCATGTCTGAACCTGCTAGAGATTTGTACTGCTGCCATCTAGGATCACATCCCATAAAGTGTTCCAAGCTCAATGACTACCATACATCTATGTTAAAGTAGGGGAGTTAAATCATCTTGTGCTCAGAAAGCTTGGTGCAAGAAGATCCAGGCAGGTACATTGACTCTGATTGTCTGAACATGCCAAGTGGAATTACACTTAATGTGGCATTCAGCAACTGGGCAAGACACAAACACACCCTCCACCTGTGTTTGGTGCTGTGGAACCCGATCACATACCTTTTTATCTGTCCTGACAAGTTGGCAGTGTCATATGTCATTCTTGTTGTTTGGACGTCACCTGAAAAATATCCAGTTCTGGTCATATGAACTGTTCTGAATTATTCATGCTATTAATGTCAGTATATAATAGCCTGTCTAGACTGGCTTTTTTTGGCTGCGTTTTCTCCCCAGGGACCTGAGAGTAGAACACACTGATTCATTGGCTTGAGTGGTATTTGTATGCCCTATGATCATCTGTGTGGAATGTTTGTCAGACATTATTGAAGATGATGATGAAAACGATGTAAATATGATAGTACCTTTGATACAACAATCATCCTAGCATACTTGCATCACCATGCTTTGCATACACTTATACTCGTGGGGCGGTATGGTAGCCTAATGGTTCAAGCATCCGCTCATCACATTGGAGACCTGGGTTTGATCCCCCACATGGGTACAATGTGTGAAACCCATTTCTGGTCTCCCCCGCTGTGATATTGCTGGAATATTGCTTAAAAACAGCATAAAACCATACTCAAATACTCACTCATACTCAAGGCAAAATATATTGCTGTTTATGAACTAAGAAGTTGGAAGATTAATTTGGATGATAAGTAGATCATCATCCCCCTGTGTCTTTATATCACACATCAAGTCAAGTCAGCATGTGTTATATCATGCTTAGGTGAGATGTTGGGTTTGTTCACTGACTTGCTCTAAGTGTTTTCTGACTCTTAAATGAAATTTCATAGTCAGCTCGTTTGTGGAATCCAGTAGGATTTCACCATTGATATATAATTAGTTCAAATTTACAAAAAAACAGAGTATCAAAGACAAGCAAAGACAAGCAAAGACAGCTTTTTGTGTGAATTTTCGGGATTTCACATTCAAGTTTCGATCATGATTTACGATGATCAAATCCCAATGTGTTTTCATGTTTGTACTTTCACAGTGTATGATTTATGGACTCTTCAGTAATCATGGAATATTCAGAATAATATTTGGTTTTATTCGTAATCAGTGTTAATGTTGGTTCAGGGTAATTAGGCAACTACAGTGAGTGAGTTTATTTTTACGCCGCACTCAGCAATATTCCACTTATATGGCAGCGGTCTGTAAATAATCGAGTCTGGACCAGACAATCCAGTGATCAGCAGCATGGGCATCGATCTGCGCAATTGTGAACCGATGACATGTCAACCAAGTCAGCAAGGGTAAGATCTGTCGAAATACACTATATTAGCGTGCCATGTTGAATAAGTATCAGAGTATTGATAACCTGTGATGTTGGAGCAACTATCAACCAACAACATCCTCATTGTCTGTGGTGTTTTTCAGATTGCCCATCCGTTAGTGAAGAACCAGTTGATCAAGTACATCTATGACGGGTTCCTGGTGCCGGTTCTAGGTCCGGCTCTGCATCAGGTGGGTAGACATGGTTGTAACAAGAGCCAGCTTCCTGATAACACATGCTTGTACTGACACCTGCGGCTAAGTAGTAAACATTTCCTGTGATGTGAACTTTATAGGTATCAATTGAGCCCTTTTCTGAAACCAGATTATTTTTTATGTTATCAATGTTTATTTTTAGAAAGTTAAATAACTTTAGAAAGTTTAAATGCAGAAACATTTCATTATTCAGCAATATTTTGCAGCACAAGTGTTTTTCTATTGCTTGGATGCTCAAATCCAGATTAAATCTGAATGACCTGATTGGGCTGTAACCACTCACAAAAGATACATTGCTGTATCATGATACATAGGTTGTAATGATACAAAAGATACTCAATTCAAAAAGTTTCCAGAAAGTGTTATGATGATTATGTCGGTATTATTTCCGACTGTGGTGTAAAGCTACACCCACTAGGGCTCATTTGCCATGGTATAATGTGTTTTGTCAACCATTACACCATTGCAAGTGTTGTACAATGACCCTGTGTTTTGCTACAGCCCTAAATGGTTATTTCAAGATGAAGGAATTTATAGTGTTTATTTCAAGTATTCAGACATAATTCTAAACAATATGCAATCACTAATGCTTTTGCGTGTTTTAGTCTTTGTTAAATGTTAATGATTATTAAAACATACTGTAGATAAGTGATTGTGGTGTCCATTGGAGTTAATTCTTAACAAAGCTGCAACTTTTCTGCTTCATTTTCTTTGTGAATTTCTCCTTCTATGAACAGATAAATACTTTCATTCAGAATATCTGTACTATAGAAAATGTCTTCTGTTTATATTTCATCTGTGTAATCCTGTGATATTTTCTTCTTTCAAAATGTCAGATCATCCAGAGGAAATGAGATTTTCTTCCTTTTGCAAAATTCAAACTCAAATGTTTTTTTTGTCATTTCCTCACCAACTCAGGATATCCCTGGCCTTCCATTACCTCTCCTAGATACGGGAATGTTTGCGGTCAGTAATATTCACTAACAAACAGCTGCCTGGCATTGTGACAGTTTGGTTGTATATGAGGTTTGATGACTAGTTTGTGTCTTTTGTTATCTTTGCTTTGTGTTGTCATCTCTGTGTCTAACCTCCATGTGCGGAAGGTTAGACTGTAGTACAGCTTCACGTGGTTTCATTTCGTCATGTCATTGGCACTGGTGTGGTACTTTCGTAACGGTTGTCAGACTGCCCGCTAACCTTTAGTTTGTGCATTTTCTACCAGTCATACTATACAGGGGAGTGGGGTGGTCGAATGGTTTAAGCGTCCACTCGTCACGCTGAAGACCTGGGTTTGATTCTCCACATGGGTACAATGTGTGAAGCCCATTTCTGGTGTTCGCCTGCTGTTATTTTGCTGGAATATTGCTAAAAGCGGCGTAAAACCAAACTCACTCACTCACTCACTCACTCTATATGGGGATGAGGACTTTTTCAATGCCGTAAACAATTGATACAAATTTCATACACGTTTTTAATAGGCGGAAAGTGTGAGGCATTTTGTTTTTTTGTAATTTTTGTTTTCTGTTTGGAGCATCTGCATGCATTAAAGGAACAACCGCTTGATTAGTACCGTAGTGGGTAGGGTGCTGATTTTGTTCTTAGAACACTATTTTCCCACAATTTTTTTCCACCGCACTATTTAACTTGCTGATCACCATCATTTCGAACTGTTTGATTGGCATTGATGAATACATGTTATATGAAAGGTAAGATTCATTACGGATGACAACTTCTATATTATATTATGTTGTCATTCATAAAGTATCTTACTTTTCTCACCATCATTTCCACAAATAACACATAGTTTCTATGTTTGGGTATTTTCCACAAAACAGTCTATGAAATGTTTTTACCATTGCTAACAGACTATTCATTTTGGGCATATTTCTGAACAGACTTATAATTTAAAAGATCTAACCACCACACATCTTCAGTCAAATGGGTGCACTCTAACTGTTGATGGATGTGATTTATTAGAAGTATGTTTGGCTATATATAATTATTTCACCAAGTGAAGATCTTGGAACACACTTTACAGTTTTCTTTGTATGTAGGTTGTTAGGGACAATCTTATGATGTGAGAGGGCAGAAATGGTTAATCACTGGTTTCATATGTATTTATTGTACTTTGCTATACAGTCACCTACAGATTCACAGGTGGGGAATTTGTCTATCATTGAAAGATTTGCACTCTGGGTTCCGAATTACAGTTTCCCCAAAAGATCTACATTGACAAGGTGTTCATCTCCAAACTGTTCCCTTCAGAGGGTACCAACTGATATTTCAGGTCCCTTTTCATTTGTTGTGTTTAGAGTTGATGCAGGCGGTGGGGTAACCTAGTGGTTAAAGTGTTCAATGTGTGAAGCCCATTTCTGGTGTCCCCTGCCGTGATATTGCTGGAATATTACTAAAAGCGGCGTAAAACCCAACTCACCCACTCACTCCCTCCCTCAGAGTTGATACATGTCACCATGACCTAGTCTTCATAGGTCGGTACTGATGATATCAGTAACTAGATCCACTGGTCCAGACTTTAATATCCTGCCATCCTGTAGCTGTAACATTCCTCACTGCTGCTCCAACAAACCAAACTAAATCATGTTGTATGTTGTACCTCATTTCACACTCACCATGCTCACGTTTTCCTTGTTTGAATAGTGAATCATCAGAATTAATGTTACTGTAGAAGTTTAGTGTATTAAAGGAATAGTTTTATCTCCTTATTATTGTGTACACAGTGTGGTGGTATGATTATTGAAATAATCGAAGAAAAGTGAGTGACTAAACAACCAAGCAATCGATCATAATTTCTCATAATCGAACACAAACAATTCTGGAAAACTTTTTGCATTAACAATGTTTTTCACAAGGTTGGTTTTGTCTGTCTGTTACATTTCATAAGCACTACAAGCTCGTTCCAAGTCATGATTGAATTTATCTTAAAGACTCCAAGAAATTAATGTTTCTAACATACTAGTCATCCTTTAAAGATCCTTTTCTTTAGCAAACAAAACAACCAGGAAAATAAACCATGGATGAAATTTCATAAATGGATTTTAACCAATTCCCAACACTAACCAATGTTACATTTTACATAGTATGATTGACTGTACAGTGTTGTACCATGAACCAATCAGCAATTATGGGATGTTTAACCAATTACCCTACCACTACAGTACACAATGTTACAGTGTTACATGTGTACACATAGTGTTGTTGTTGTACAGTGTTACAGTGTTGTTACAGTGTACAGTGTTGTGTTATACAATGTTACAGTGTTGCTTGTACCATGTACATTGTTACAGTGTTACATGTACATAGTGTTGTTGTGTACAGTGTTGTGTTATACAATGTGTTACAGTGTTACCTTGTATACAGTGTTATTGAGTACACAGTGTTAGGTTCCTGACTTACTGTTGAACACAGCCAGCTAGTAGTGAATGTTGTAGTGTGGTGGCACTGTGTAGAAGCATGTGTGTTGTTGTATCACAATATGGGTGTCCACCGCCGCTCTAGAAACACTCTAATACACCATCACAGCATCCTGGTTGTCATGGCTACTGTTTCCACCACTTCACCTCACTGATGTGTAATACATTCAATACATTTGTATCAAACACTAAATATCTAACCTAACAGATTCACGACCTATCATGCTTAATGGTTGAGCAACTTTGAAACTGTTTTAGGACATCAAAATATAATGATATAAACTATGTCTTGATTATTTGCCGAAGTATTATTTGACTCTTTGTCATCACAATTACTAGATTACTAGAGATTAGTAATTTGAGAGTGGAAATAATAGCCTTGATTCAGGTTGAGTATTTCACATGGTGTAACGGAATCAGCAGAGTTTGGAGAATTCTAGGGTTTCATATCATGGCTTCATTTTCAGTACACTGACTCTCATCCAAAATGTCCTTGACATAATTTCCAGGTTTCATATTTACAGATGGATAAGCTAAGATACATTTGCTGTCATCTGAACATTACTTCTTTTCTACCAGCAAAGGCTTTGTTGATGACTCAGTTTGTGAGATAGTATTGGCATTTTATATGGTATGATTTCTGGTGATAAATAACGTCAGTGTTCCACTATATCAACCTTCAACTGTTAAACTATGTCAACCTTCAACTGTTAAACATGTCCACCTTCAACTGTTAAATGTCCACCTTCAACTGTTAAACTATGTCAACCTTCAACTGTTAAACATGTCCACCTTCAACTGTTAAACTATGTCCACCTTCAACTGTTAAACATGTCCACCTTCAACTGTTAAACTATGTCAACCTTCAACTGTTAAACTATGTCAACCTTCAACTGTTAAAACTATGTCAACCTTCAACTGTTAAACATGTCCACCTTCAACTGTTAAACATGTCCACCTTCAACTGTTAAACTATGTCAACCTTCAACTGTTAAATATGTCCACCTTCAACCTTCTGTTAAACTATGTCAACCTTCAACTGTTAAACTATGTCAACCTTCAACTGTTAAACTATGTCAACCTTCAACTGTTAAACATGTCCACCTTCAACTGTTAAACATGTCCACCTTCAACTGTTAAACTATGTCAACCTTCAACTGTTAAACATGTCAACCTTCAACTGTTAAACTATGTCAACCTTCAACTGTTAAACATGTCAACCTTCAACTGTTAAACTATGTCAACCTTCAACTGTTAAACTATGTCAACCTTCAACTGTTAAACATGTCCACCTTCAACTGTTGAACTATGTCAACCTTCAACTGTTAAACTATGTCCACCTTCAACTGTTAAACATGTCCACCTTCAACTGTTAAACATGTCCACCTTCAACTGTTAAACTATGTCAACCTTCAACTGTTAAACTATGTCAACCTTCAACTGTTAAACATGTCCACCTTCAACTGTTAAACATGTCCACCTTCAACTGTTAAACTATGTCAACCTTCAACTGTTAAACATGTCCACCTTCAACTGTTAAACTATGTCAACCTTCAACTGTTAAACATGTCCACCTTCAACTGTTAAACATGTCCACCTTCAACTGTTAAACTATGTCAACCTTCAACTGTTAAACCTATGTCCACCTTCAACTGTTAAACTATGTCAACCTTCAACTGTTAAACATGTCCACCTTCAACTGTTAAACTATGTCCACCTTCAACTGTTAAACTATATGTCCACCTTCAACTGTTAAACTATGTCCACCTTCAACTGTTAAACATGTCCACCTTCAACTGTTAAACATGTCCACCTTCAACTGTTAAACTATGTCAACCTTCAACTGTTAAACTATGTCAACCTTCAACTGTTAAACTATGTCCACCTTCAACTGTTAAACTATGTCCACCTTCAACTGTTAAACATGTCCACCTTCAACTGTTACATATGTCCACCTTCAACTGTTAAACTATGTCAACCTTCAACTGTTAAACATGTCCACCTTCAACTGTTAAACTATGTCAACCTTCAACTGTTAAACATGTCCACCTTCAACTGTTAAACATGTCCACCTTCAACTGTTAAACTATGTCAACCTTCAACTGTTAAACAACTGTCCATGTCAACCTTCAACTGTTAAACTATGTCCACCTTCAACTGTTAAACATGTCCACCTTCAACTGTTAAACTATGTCAACCTTCAACTGTTAAACTATGTCAACCTTCACCAGTGTATTTTTACATTTTAATGTTGCCACATGTTTGTATATTTTGATTTAGAATGGTTGTATAATGGATCTTGATGTAAGTTATACACTTTTCTGATAGAACCCTTAACATACACATATAAGCATGTTTAAACAAGTTTACCAGTGGGGTGCTGAAGTAATTCTTTAAAGCATGAAAGTATATAACTTTGCAGAAAGTGTTTTTCTACCCTTTGGGGAATTTAGTTCTCATATAATATCTTATCTGACTGTGCATGGGAATTTAAACAGATATGTATCCTTTCACATCTATATATATATAGTATATTTCTGGAATGGTGCTGAGTGAAAGTAGCATGCATCTTTGTGCACATGGTCCTTGTTATGTCAAGATGGGACAATGTAGTCATGGAGACCGTGTCCCATGTAGCAGAGTTGCTCCCCTTACCAGTATCAGGATACAGACTTTCACATCACTAGCCCTGACGTGGCTGTTATCCTCATTAGTAGTTATCAGTGTTACCATATGGGCAGTGATCATTTCAACAGACTAGGCCAAAAACAATTGAACTTGTGGATAAAGTCCCAAATTGCATTGTTTGTGTATTTTTTATTCCCAGATTTGGGCCAATAGTGATTGTGATCTTTGGCCTGATTGTTATCCTTGGATTGTGATCTTTGGCCTGATTGTTATCTTTGGATTGTGATCCTTGGCCCGATTGTTTCTTTGGCCTGATTGTTATCCTTGGATTGTGATCTTTGGCCTGATTGTTATCCTTGGCCTGATTGTTATGATCCTTGGCCTGATTGTCCTTTGGCCTGATTGTGATCCTTGGCCTGATTGTTATCTTTGGATTGATTGTGATCTTTGGCCTGATTGTTATCTTTGGATTTTGGATTTATCCATGGCCTGATTGATCTGATTGTTATTGGCCTGATTGTTATCTTTGGATTGTGGTCGAAAGCGTTATTGTGATCTCATTGGCCTGATTATACAATTTGGCCTGATTGTGATCTTTGGCCTGATTGATTGGATTGTGATCTTTGGCCTGATTGTTATCCATGGCCTGATTGTGATCATTGGCCTGATTGTTATCCTTGGATTGTGATCCTTGGCCTGATTGTTATCCATGGCCTGATTGTGATCCTTGGCCTGATTGTTGGCCTTGGATTGTGATCCTTGGCCTGATTGTTATCCATGGCCTGATTGTGATCCTTGGCCTGATTGTTATCTTTGGATTGTGATCTTTGGCCTGATTGTTATCCATGGCCTGATTGTGATCCTTGGCCTGATTGTTATCCATGGCCTGATTGTGATCCTTGGCCTGATTGTTATCTTTGGATTGTGATCTTTGGCCTGATTGTTATCTTTGGATTGTGATCCTTGGCCTGATTGTTATCCTTGGATTGTGATCTTTGACCTGATTGTTATCTTTGGATTGTGATCATTGGCCTGATTGGATTGTGATGATTGTTATCCTGGGATTGTGATCTTTGGCCTGATTGTTATCTTTGGATTGTGATCTTTGGCCTGATTGTGATCATTGGCCTGATTGTTATCCATGGCCTGATTGTGATCTTTGGCCTGATTGTTATCTTTGGATTGTGATCTTTGGCCTGATTGTGATCTTTGGCCTGATTGTTATCCATGGCCTGATTGTGATCTTTGGCCTGATTGTTATCCATGGCCTGATTGTTATCTTTGGCCTGATTGTTATCCTTGGCCTGATTGTTATCATTGGCCTGATTGTGATCCTTGGCCTGATTGAGATCCTTAGCCTGATTGAGATCCATGGATTGTTTATGATCTCATGGATAAGTTGTGATCCTCACACTCATAGTAATCCAGACCATGCTGAAACCTATGACTGTGGAGTTGAATCCCAGATTGTCCCTGATTTTGTTTATATTTGTGTCACTTTAATCAAAGCATAGTTGGTTTTACGAAAGTGATCAAAGTCAGAGACCATTTCAGGTTGTGCTCCCTACTCATGCTGACATGCTTGCTCTAGCTATAATACTGTTCAAAGTGAATAACCAAACTGACCATCTCACACACTGACTTTTTGATGAGCCAACTAAAACAGGTACATGTATCAGGTTTGTCTGTTGTGAAGTCTCGAGTGGGTTGCCACTGAGCGATGCTGACAGAGGTAGAGTGCCACCATGCCCATGAGCATGGATTGATGCTCGCAGTATCAACCACCAGTGTGCCGTTCCATGCTTGGATACTTCCGAATCTGAGATGCAGTATTCCTGACTCCCTCTTTGCTTAATATATGATACTGGGATCGCAGCTATCTTACTCTGCACTCATTTTATTCATAGTGGAATCATTATATTTTGTTGATGAAATGGCATATATTTTAAAGACAATGCTTGCATAGAAATGTTTTCTTATGTTATTTTAGTCCAGGAATATTGCATACCTTGTGTGACATCTTCTGTGCAAATATGTAACTGGTATATGATCATATTATATGATAGTGTATTGAAACTCTTGAAGTTACAGTTGTTGTGTCAAACTGTGTAGATATGTGTAATGATGTTATGCTTGTTAGTTAATGAATGCAGTCACATGTATTTGCACGTTCTCTTTACCGAAGAGTTTTTCAAATGATAGTTTGTTTTTTTATCATTTAGGAATACATTAATCTTCTATGCACTTTCTCCAGTGATATTATGGCATAAATGAACTAATTAAGTATAAAATGTAAAGAATGATCATCTTTCTGAATATATATCAGCTGAAGCGTAGTTTTAACATATAGCAGATAAATTTAGGAAAGTGAGAAAAAGCTTCCTTGGAAATGTTTGATGTGATTTTGACAACAATTCCTACAGGTCAATTTGTTAATGAAATTTCATATTTAAGGTAGCCCATATCTTCGACCTTGTCATAATTGAAGCATATCACTCTGTAAATGGAAACTTATTTTTTTAAAATTATTTCCAAATATCTGTAACAGATTTATCCATATAATGCCCATAGTATCATAACATGTAAACCCAGCAACACTTCCAACGTTTTGAGGACTTTGAAAAGGGGACATTGGTCTTCACACTTCCTGTTTAAATGAACTGTGTGGTGTGTTACAGAATTCCCGAGAGGAAGTGATGACAGCCACTGCGTACCTCGACCTGTTCCTGCGACGGATCACAGAGCCAGTTCTCATCCGAGCTGTACTCAAGTTCATACTGCTGGAGAAGAATGATGAAATCGTCATCCTTGATTCTCTCATCACCAGAATCAACTCCAGTTCACGGGTAAGAATCTGGGAGGCGACAGCTTCCTGTCGGAATCAGGGGTCAGTAATGGGTAATGATGAATGAGTGTTAGTGGCAAGTCTTCATGGCAGATGAGAAATGATTGTTACATGTTTTTTGAGATCTTTCAATATCCCCTCAAATGCTAAGCCCTTGAATAAGGAAGGTTTATGGTTTTGCTAATATTGGAGATAGATGAACAGATATATAGAGTATATATGCGTTGTCAAGTAGTAGGTCTTTGAGTTGGATTGAAGCTGAAATGAGGGATGTCGGCAAAGCCATTTGGCTGATTCATGGAATCGAGTAGTGATAAAAACTGCATAAAACATGCACTCACTCACACTCACTCTATTGCTGAAATGCAATCGACAAATGTAGAAACTCATCTGGAGCCGATACAGAATGGATGAGTTTAGGCTGACAGAGAAGGGGATATGTATAGTTGGAAAGATAATGGATGAGAAAAGGCTGAAAGAATGGGATGAGTATAGGCTGAAAGATAATGGAATATGGTGAATATGGTTTTGCTAAGCACATGTTAGTTGCATGTAAGTTAGAAGCCAGAGCCACATACAGTGTTTGGTGATGTAGTTGGACTGACCACATGTTGTACATGTTTGCTGTAATAGCTAGTCCCTGTTGGTGATGTAGTTGGACTGACCACATGTTGTACATGTTTGCTGTAATAGCTAGTCCCTGTTGGTGATGTAGTTGGACTGACCACATGTTGTACATGTTTGGTGTAATAGCTAGTCCCTGTCGGTGATGTAGTTGGACTGACCACATGTTGTACATGTTTGCTGTAATAGCTAGTCCCTGTCGGTGATGTAGTTGGACTGACCACATGTTGTACATGTTTGCTGTAATAGCTAGTCCCTGTCGGTGATGTAGTTGGACTGACCACATGTTGTACATGTTTGCTGTAATAGCTAGTCCCTGTCGGTGATGTAGTTGGACTGACCACATGTTGTACATGTTTGCTGTAATAGCTAGTCCCTGTCGGTGATGTAGTTGGACTGACCACATGTTGTACATGTTTGGTGATGTAGTTGGACTGACCACATGTTGTACATGTTTGCTGTAATAGCTAGTCCCTGTCGGTGATGTAGTTGGACTGACCACATGTTGTACATGTTTGCTGCAGCTGTCGCTGGTGTCACTGTCACTGTTCAAAGACCCTCATCAATCTCAACTGTGAGGATGTCATGCTCCAGCTGGTCTTCAAGTAAGTAACATCTCATGTTCTTCCATACCAGAATTAATATCACTGGTAGTAGACTTCAAGGATACAGGGGCAGTGGGGTAGCCTAGTGGGTAAACCGTCCACTCGTCACGCTGAGGACCTGGGTTTGATTCCCCACATGGGTACAACGTGTGAAGCCCATTTCTGGTGTCCCCCGCCGTGATATTGCTGGAAAATTGCTAAAAGCAGCGTAAACTATACTCACTCACTGACTCAGAGATACAGACTGTTAGTGTATACTGAATAACAGTAACACACATTATTAGCTGAGCTCACTAAATGATCAGTTATTATTTTAATAATGAATAAATAACCCTTGTGTTGTAGATACCTGATTCCCTGTACCCATGTAATGGTCAGTCAACGAAGGTCGGTGAAGGACCTTGACCTTTACAGTAAAAGTGCGGAGAAGTTCCTGTCTCTGCGACCATCCTGCTGCATGTCGAGGAGCACGGAAAGCCCTAAATCCTCCTCTCACAGTAACGATAAGACACTTCCCTCCACCAGGTACACTGCATGGTCCGGTCAGGCCACGACTAACCGCTTGTGTATTTCTGCTATAGTGTCACTCTATGTCTTGAACATGGTCTTTTCTTCATTACAAAACCTTTTTCTTTTCAGATTTTGAAGGTTTAGGTTTTTGGGTATGGTACATGCTGTTAATTATGGAAGATTTGTGGCCAGGAATACCTCATTGCTTGAATCCTTTGTCACTAATGTAACCTACAGTTAACCTTGGTAAGCCAGAAAATAAAATGTACTAATGTGAGATGTCTTTTGCTGTGACCCACACCATAATGCAAATAGTGTTGACCAAGTTGCCTTTTGCTGTAAGCCAGAAAATAATATAAATAACAGTTTGGCTGTTGTGCAGACCATGATATATGACAGTCTAGACCAAGATGCCTTTCGATGTGGCAAAGAAAATGATATACTGATGGTGTTGGCGAAAATGCTTTTGGCTGTCGCTCAGACCATGATATTCTTACTAGACTGAGATGACTTTGGTTGTAGCTCAGACCATGATATGCTTACTAGACTAAAATGACTTTTGCTGTAGCTCAGACCATGATATGCTTACTAGACTGAGAGGCCTTTGGCTGTAGCTGAGACCATGATATGCTTACTAGACTGAGATGACTGGCTGTAGCTCAGACCATGATATACTTACTAGACTGAGATGGCTTTGGCTGTAGCTCAGACCATGATATGCTTACTAGACTGAGATGGCTTTGGCTGTAGCTCAGACCATGATATGCTTACTAGACTGAGATGACTGGCTGTAGCTCAGACCATGATATGCTTACTAGACTGAGATGACTGGCTGTAGCTCAGACCATGATATGCTTACTAGACTGAGATGGCTTTGGCTGTAGCTCAGACCATGATATACTTACAAGACTGAGATGGCTTTGGCTGTAGCTCAGACCATGATATGCTTACTAGACTGAGATGATTTTGGCTGTAGCTCAGACTATGATATGCTTACTAGACTGAGATACCTTTGGCTGTAGCTCAGACCATGATATTCTTACTAGACTGAGATGACTTTGGTTGTAGCTCAGACCATGATATTCTTACTAGACTGAGATGACTTTGGCTGTAGCTCAGACCATGATATTCTTACTAGACTGAGATGACTTTGGTTGTAGCTCAGACCATGATATACTTACTAGACTGAGATGATTTTGGCTGTAGCTCAGACCATGATATGCTTACTAGACGAGAGAACTTTGGCTGTAGCTCAGACCATGATATAATTACTAGACTGAGATGATTTTGGCTGTAGCTCAGACCATGATATTCTTACTAGACTGAGATGACTTTGGTTGTAGCTCAGATCATGATATACTTACTAGACTGAGATGGCTTTGGCTGTAGCTCAGACCATGATATGATTACTAGACTAAGATACCTTTGTCTGTATCTCAGACCATGATATGCTTACTAGACTGGTCTTATGGTATTCTGAAAGTCAACTGCTGATATTTGTTTCTATCAGCAAGTACATTACTGTTTCTGTATGAAGAAAGTGGCCATGTTCAAGATGTTTGCATGTTGCTCAATCTTGAGTAAAATCTATCCTTCAGCTTACTACTCTGAGACTGTTAACAACAGTGTGGATAATAGCACCAGTAATAGTCAGTGTTGTACCCCTCAGACTGTTAGCAGTTGTATCGATACAAGCATCTAGAATACATATAGTCAGTGTTGTACCCCTCAGATTGTTGACGGTTGTATGGGTAATAGCATCAATAGTTGGGAGTGTTGTCAGTTGTATGGGTAATAGCATCAATAGTTGGGAGTGTTGTCAGTTGTATGGGTAATAGCATCAATAGTTGGGAGTGTTGTCAGTACATCAATAGTTGTATGTTGGTAATAAGCATCAATAGTTGGGAGTGTTGTCAGTTGTATGGGTAATAGCATCAATAGTTGGGAGTGTTGTCAGCTGTATGGGTAATAGCATCAATAGTTGGGAGTGTTGTCAGCTGTATGGGTAATAGCATCAATAGTTGGGAGTGTTGTCAGCTGTATGGGTAATAGCATCAATAGTTGGGAGTGTTGTCAGTTGTATGGGTAATAGCATCAATAGTTGGGAGTGTTGTCAGTTGTATGGGTAATAGCATCAATGTGTGTTGTCAGTTGTATGGGTAATAACATCAATAGTTGGGAGTGTTGTCAGTTGTATGGGTAATAACATCAATAGTTGGGAGTGTTGTCAGCTGTATGGATAATAACATCAATAGTTGGGAGTGTTGTCAGTTGTATGGGTAATAGCATCAATAGTTGGGAGTGTTGTCAGCTGTATGGATAATAGCATCAATAGTTGGGAGTGTTGTCAGCTGTATGGGTAATAGCATCAATAGTTGGGAGTGTTGTCAGTGGTATGGATAATGACATCAATAGTTGGGTGTGTTGTCAGCTGTATGGGTAATAACATCAATAGTTGGGAGTGTTGTCAGTTGTATGGATAATAGCATCAGCAATAGTCAGTTTTGTACCCTGCAGACTGTGATTAGTTTTGTGGATAGAAGCATAAAAATAGTTACCGTTTCACCCCTCAGACTTTTAAAAGTTTTGTGGTAATAGCATCCATGATAGTCAATGTTATGTCCTTCAGAATTATCAGTTGGATGGACAGTATTATCTATAAGATCCACTGTGTTGCCTGAATGCAATGATCAAATCATTAGAGGAAAGTAATTTCAGTTTGGAAAGCAAATATTTGAAATGCTAGTTTACACTGATCTTTGTTTGTCTGTGTTCATGGTATACTAAGGGCTGCTATAAGTAAATGTATTTTTCAACTGTATGGGTGAATGCCTTTAGCTAAGAAATACATAGACTCAGGTGACTGGTGAACACCTGGTGACAATGTCAGGTATTTGCCCTGCTCTGACTTGCTCTTTGTCTTTTCAAGCTCTGACATATTTTGTTTACTTTCTTCTACACATATTTTTTCACAAAAGAAACTTGATAATGTTACAAATATTTTGGCAGACATTTCATAGGAGTCAACATTGTGAAAACTTTGTAAATGTGAATGTATAAATGAGAACAAAAAACTTCTGGAAGACGTTATCTTTTTTGAATTGTAATTCCTCTGTCTTCCAGCATCTTAAACACATTTATAGTGTAACAATAAAGATTATTTGAATAAGAGATCAAGATATGTCTGCCAGTGGTATGAACTAAACTATCAAGTTCCCTACTATGTATACTGTTGGTTGTGGTGTGTACAGAATCATTTTGGTTATTTGTGCACTTATTTTGTCTGTAGCTCTCTAAATGATACAAACAGTAGAACTAGACGACCCTCCAGCAGTCCTAACCCAATCGCAAGGCCCAACAAACCTTTTGGAGATTTTTTCACCCGAAAGAACTCCAAGACTAAGCGAAGCAATTCCCAGCTTGTACCGTAAGTGGTTCACTAACATCGATGCCCGATGCTGTGAATATTTCCAGCGTCATCACCTGTCGGCTTTCATTCTCCATCTACCTGAGATGTAACGATACACAGGGTTGATTAACTTTTTACTGAAGTTTGAAAATTTTAAATTTCAACTCCAGTGCAACTTGAGATCATTCTTGGTTTCATAGCAACACTTGAAATATATTGGCTTTAAAACATGTTGACAGCTGTGTATCATTACTCTGTCATTACGTTGCTTCTGTATTGGATTTATATATTATATCCTTCCCCTAATTAACTTTCCCTAATACAATTTTACAGTCTCTTTTTTATTTGACAATAATTATTTCTTACTGACATACAGATCTGTATAAGTTCATATATGACCACCAGGTCTAGGTGAGTGAAATCCACTTCAATGGATTCGAATGTGTCATGGTTTTCTTAACAAATATTTTGAAAAAAAATGTAAAATGATGTATGAATTGTTGGATTTAGTTCATATTCTCCATCCCTGGAAAAAACCTGTAGCAGTTTCTTTTAAAAACAACAACTGACATTTTATTATTGTTGTTGAGAAATTGCACTGATCTTGATTGATTTTCACCTTAAGAAAATGTCACATTGTTCTGCTGTTAGGAGATTTGCATGTCCACAGGAATGTTAGGACAGAAATGTATCACATTTATTTTTGTTTATGACAAGTATGCACAAAACTGTAATGCCTTGTTGAATGCATGCATGTTTGTTGTATGGACAGTATGTTGATGGATGATGCACTGTGATGAATGAACCCTGCCAGCATGATGTCCCCCATTTATATTGACTGGAGTGATTCAGATTCGTTGTATGTAGTTGCTGATATCATTCACTCTCTTATCTTTGCCATTATTGTACGTTATTCTCATATATCTATTGATTACGGGTACCATGTGTGAAGCCCGTTTCTGGAATATTGCTAAAAGGGCGTGAAACCCAAGTCACTCATTGACTCTGTTGATTACATTCTCTTTGCTTATATATTGTCTTTTTGGCTGTTCCCTAATCATGTAAATTCCTGTTGCCAGGGCAACACAGGAACCTGTCAGAAGAAGCCCTCAGATGCCTACTACTTCTGAGATGAGAATCGAGGACTTTGAAACAAGTTACTTTGAATATTTACACGATGCTCGTTATCGATTAACGAAATGTGCCCGAGCATGTCGGAACTGGTCTGCCCCTTATAACGGAGAGACGCCCCCACCTGATTGTTTCCTGGACAAGGCAGCCAATGAGAACAAAGCTGATAGTGATAAAAGTCTGTCAGAATCGCGGGTTAAACCTTCATCTGAAAAAGGAGGCGATGGTGCAGAGACAATGTCTCCCAAAGTCCGCCTCTTCTCCCATGGCTATGTGAACTCGAACTCTAGTGGAGCCGATGTTATTGTTAACGGCTGTGTGGATAAATCGATGGACAAGACGGAGCCAGGCTTAGGAAGACACACATCACCTTTGTGCAATAACTTATCTCATAGTGAGATGGTGACGTCGCCAAGTCTTTCAAAACTGTTTTCATCGTTAGATAGTTTAGATTCTTTTATTCGCTACCTTGATGAACTGGACCCAGCTGATGATTCAGCTTCTTCTATAGAGGACAGTATGCAGAGTTTAGAATCGGTGCTATCAAACATGTCCCATTCTTTCAATACTTCAGCTGGGAATGACACTATTTTGTACTCCCAGGAGGGAAGCAAATCCGGCAGCAGCTGCCACAGTTCGGTCAGGTCCAACGTGGAGGTTCCGTGTAGCCTCAACCTCAGAGATATGTCGAGTTACGTGGAGATCACCATGTCCTCCCCTGACCGATCCAATGCCCAGAAGGTTCTGCAGGAGCTGCCTCAACGAAGCTTCTTGACCCCCGACCTGACGCTGTCGCCGAGTCGGTGGACAGAAGTGGACATGCCCTGCAGCCCCTCCCCCTTCCCCTCCGTCTCCTCCCGGGCATTCACACCACGCTACTCCAGCAGTGCCCCCAACATAGGTGAGCCAGTCTTACATCTGTACTGCGTGTTGTAACTAGATGTTAGCCACTCTCATGTCATTGTGCCCCAGTGTTAAACCTTAAGAAAAGGGATCCTTGTTAAAATGTATGGGTTCCCAGATATAAATACTCAAGCATCTGGCCATTACAGTGCAGGTTGTTGTCAATCTTGAACACTGTCGGGTTTCATTATTTATGACAGCAAGCTATTCAATGCCAGGTAAGATCTTAAAGGCAACAGATAAATGTAAAATAGTAACCATGAAGCCTTTATTTCTCACAGTAAAGATGCTCATATAACTGACGGTAGGTTGATATATGATGATAATTTGATGACAGTATCATGATAATCATCTCTTTCACTCCTCTTTAGCAGTGTAGGAAAGATGTAGAAAATCTAGCCTGTCCACAGGACTGGCAGGTCAATTTTTTACCAGTCCTGCCAAAATCTAGCCTGTCCTCCAAATATAAATAAAGCACCTTCGGCAGTAAATATTTAAAAGGTTATAAGCATTATATATATGTCATTGGTTTGCTAAAATTGACCCGACATGAGGACGGACTAGATATTTTTTTGACCCGTCCGCCACAAAATTCACCCGTCTCGGACGTTGGGACGGGCTATCTTTCCTACACTGTCTTTAGTCCATGTCTGTGGCAATATCTGATAAACTTGCCACAGGAGATTATTCTGAAGGTACTATGTAGCAAGGTCTTCCATAGAATGAAGAAAGAAATTCCATTACTTCTTTGGATAAAAGCAGTGGGCATTTGAAAATATTGTTACGGAGAAATAACCTGTTAAAATTCAGGTAGTAATTTGACAAAAGTCTCACTTCCTTGCTTGTGTTTCAGGCCCGTTCCTAGCTGCAGTGTTCTCCAAGCTGGAGAGTATGATCCAGAACTCACTGTACATGAACCTGCTGCTGACTGGCATTGTAGCCCAGCTGGGAGCCTACCCTCAGCCCATTCTCCGGTCATTCTTGCTAAACCACAACCTCGTCTTTCAACCCACAGTCAAATCATTGGTGCAGGTGAGTACCTTCTTGCTAAACCACAACCTCGTCTTTCAACCCACAGTCAAATCATTGGTGCAGGTGAGTACCTGCTTGCTAAACCACAACCTCATCTTTCAACACACATTTTTTCCAGTTGTACTCTTTGTGTGACTGTAGAATTTGAGTAAGGTAGTGAGTTGCTACTTCGTATACATTTACATAGGATACAGCCAGCCTTACAGAGGAACTATGTCAGTCCAACTTCTTACCAGGTTTAGCATGTCTTAAATGCCAACTATTTTTTGTCCAGGTGCTATCCTCGGTGCGCCAGAAAGTGGACAACTATGCCTTAAGTATCCCCAACTTTGAAAACCTAATCATCCTTGCTCGGAAGAATCTTCTGTCCCGAGAAGAGAGTTACTTCAGTGCAGGGTTCGGTCCAGTTCCGGCCAGTCTCGGGTCGTCTCCCGTCAAACCTGTGCGGGCAGCTACCATCTCCGAGATCCCAACAAAAGGTAATCTTTACGCTTGGAACCATTTGTGCTAGTGTGAACATTGTTTAGAAAGGGACATAACTCCACTTAAAGGAGGACAAGGACGATTTCATTGGGAATTTGCGTCATATAAAGAAATATGTGTACCTTTTGTGAGATTAATGTTACTGATAACCGACACATGTCTGATGTTTCCTTTATATTACAGAAAAACGGAGCCCTTCCCAGTCTCTCCGTGACTTGTTGTTCCGACGGAGCCCTGCCAGTAAGAAAGGCCTTCACAGTGGGAACAAAGGGGCACAACTCCAGCGGGTTCCGGGGGGAGTAGGCTATCTGTTCATAAACCGAAACAATGACGAGCCATCCAACAGTGCAGAGGAATCACTGAAGACCTGGAACGCTGTTTACTGTGCCATCATCCTAGATGAGTTCACGAAGGAGTTAGCTGCCCTTGCTCAGGAGCATGCGGTCCTCAGCATGGACGAGGGGTACGGCAGCAGTTGAAGTGGTAGCTAGATATTTATACTGCCTCACATTTCACATTGCACACAACTGGAAGGGGCACTTGTTTAACAGGATCTGGCCTGGTCACATGCTCTAGCACAACACCTGGGTAGGTCCCCTTGTGGGGGCATTCAGCAATCTTTCTGTCTGTCTGTCTGTCCTTCCTATCTGTCCCATTTTCCATTTCTGCAGCAGAAATCCTAAACTGACAGATGTTTCTATTTGAAACTTGCTAAAAGGATCAGTTTAGTGACAAACAGATGTCTTTTGACGATTTGCAATTTTTGGTTTTTTAGTATTATTTTGTTTTCATGAGCAGAACTTCAAAAACATTGAATATTTCTTGATGAAACATGCTATGTAGATAATAGCGGCATTTTGATGATTCATGAATTGAGAATACTGAAAAGCATGAATTATTTTCTTCCATTAACTGATGGTATCAGAGGCAGTGAACCAAAGGTAGGGTATAAGAAACCAAACCCAATTTCCTAATTGCACCAGCAAGAATATGTCACCTCCTGATGAGTGTGTTTGACAAGGCTTGTCCAGGCTTACATCATCCTGAAGTTACTGGTTTCACTTGTTGTTCACAATACCTTGGTTTATTCTGTCGTGGCTGTATTACAGACCAGATCTGGATCATTGTTAGCTAGTCTTGCAGAGAATGAGGTCGCCAAAGGCTGTGCTGGTCACATTGTGGGTCTCTGTCTGAAACCTTGGCTATATAGTTGCAATACTACTGATGTCAGGCTGCAATCAACACATGGGGCGGTTGGGTAGCCTAGTGGTTAAAGCGTCCACTCGTCTCGCTGAAGACCCGGGTTCCATTCCCCACATGGGCACAATATGTGAAGCCCATTTCTGGTGTCCCCTGTCATGATATTGCTGGAATATTGCTAAAAAGTGGCGTAAAACCAAACTCACTCACTCACTGCAATCATCTCCCCTACTCACTGTTACTCTCTCTCTGCTCAATAATTAGGCTCTGTTCAGACAAACTGTTCCTACCAGTGATTCAGTAGTTTAGGAAGTTTGGTAAGAAAATATGTATCAACCAAGGCTGTTAAAAATTAATGAGTTTGATCTGAAATACTTTCATTGTGATAATGATTGTAAAGAAATGAAAGATTTCAGAAAAGCTTCTCATTAACTTCTTTGAGTGGCATTTTAGAAGCTGGCACTCATGAAATAAATAAGTTGTTATCCATAAAGTTTGTTCAAGAAGGCTTCTGATTGTATTGACTTAGTTCTACTTCATCACATCAGTCTGGGTCAGCGTCTCTGTTAACATCAGTTCTTCCTGAATTTATAACACCGTTTGTTTGGCATACCATGTGTGATCTATTCCTGGACTCAGATATATGTGGAAGCACTTTGACCGTTTCTGTTTGGTTTTGTCCCTGTTTAGATATTGTCCGTGTTTACAGTAGCTTCACTGTTGTTATCATAACTCCTGTTGTGTGTTGCAGAGGATTATTCAAGCTGGACTCATGACACAGAGCGTGTATCCAAGTGACAGTTGCCGTGACGACACCCATCTCCACTCCCTCCAGATGTGCACAGACAGCACTCTTCACATATCACCAGCTCTGTCAGGTGGCGCGACACATGGGCCAGCTATTCCCATCTCTCATACAGATGCACCATCAGTGAAATTGTTGGGCCAGAAATGTCAGCAGATTCCTGGCAGACGACACTTTTTGTCCAACTGTATCTATCATCAATCTATATGGACATACTGATGTATATTAACCCTGGCTATGAATAGTCTCTGAGAGAAAGTATATCTAATGCAACCTTTTATAAGAACAGAAAAAAATAAGGGAAACTAATCAAATTTCTGAAATTTGTTTATTGGTTTTAGAGGGTAAAGAAGTTCGAATTAGCAATAATGTAATCATTTAACAACAAGCAATGGTATGTTTCTGAGCACCTTCAGGAGTGGAGACCATGGTGCTGACTGGACATTGTTCCTTGCATGGCTGGGGGAAGTCAGTATTCACTTGTTAACACAATACACAGTTGATTGTTCAAAGGTACAAAGTGGTAGTTCTTGAGTCTGCAGGATGGGCCATGTCTTTTCTAGAGTTATTTACCTGTATCTTCCAATCTTGGATAAGGCCACTCACATCACTTCAGTGTTGTGACTGATCCACTTGAATTACGACAGTGGAAATTACAAAATTTTCTTTTTCATCCTAATTTCTGCACAGTGTAGTGGTTCGTGAGGTTCGTGATTTTTCCATTTTAAGGTTTTCATATGATTTTTAGGGTGTTTATTTACAAGAGATTCATATTTTTACCTGAAAGAGAATGCTTCTATATCCAAGTGAACATTAAATATATATATATACATATATCGATTCATATATTGCTGCAATACAGGTCCAATAAAGAACTATTAAAGACTGTTTATAGTAGTATGGCACATAACTCATCTACAAATGAAAAATAGAATCAGTGAATGATATATCGATTCAAGACTTACTGTTCGTTTTTATTTTTTAAATGAAAGATCAGACAAGTATTGACCAGTGATTAGAACAAGAGATTTGTTTTTGTGCATTTATAAAGCTGTCTTTGTATAAAGTAAGAATCACAGGTAATGATGTCCGATATCAATGTCCTGATTCTGGTTACTATGACAACTGATTCCGGTACATGTTGCTCCATACCGTGTATGCAGACATTGAGATGTGTGGGAGAGATTGTTGCACACATAGCATTGTTACAAGCTTTTGCTTCGTTTTCACCCAGTGAGTGGAATGCAAAGATCTTGAACAGTCTCACTTTATTATCTTGCACAGTTTGTTTTTCATCTGTATTTAAAGCCTGTATATGTGACTATGCATTTCCTGCTTCAGTTTGTCTGTAGGTGAAAAGTCTGGACTTTTAGCCAGGTCATCAGTTTAATTAATAATATAAATGGGGAAAATATATACTGTATGTATAAGGGAAAGTATTGTTTTATAATATTGAACAAAACAAATTGTGACATATAAAATTAAACTTTAGTTGCTTCTATAAGTTCCATAAGACCAACGATATGCATTTTTCTCCGAAATGTTACATGTTGTATAACCATCAGCTACATGGGGGTCTAAGAGTGGAGTGGTGTGTTTACAGATGTCACTCATGGGTTATTGTTGGTATTTTGAATGACATACAGTACTTACTTCTGGGTTGAGTTCACAGGGAGTCATTGAAAGGTTGAGAAAGACTGGACTTGCCTGAGGACCAGCTCAAGCAGCTTCTGAGAGGAGCATGAAGATATTTGATGTTAAATTTATTTGAGTTTAGTGATAATCCTGAATGGCACATTAATAATCCTGGATGGTACATTAATAGTCCTGAAAGGTACATTGATAATCCTGAAAGGTACATTGATAATCCTGAATGGTACATTGATAATCCTGAAAGGTACATTGATAATCCTGAATGGTACATTTAATAATCCTGAAAGGTACATTGATAATCCTGAATGGTACATTTAATAATCCTGAAAGGTACATTGATAATCCTGAATGGTATATTGATAACCCCTGAAAGGTACATTGATAATCCTGAATGGTACATTGATAATCCTGAAAGGTACATTGATAATCCTGAAAGGTACATTGATAATCCTGAAAGGTACATTGATAATCCTGAATGGTACATTGATAATCCTGAAAGGTACATTGATAATCCTGAATGGTACATTGATAATCCTGAATGGTACATTGATAACCCTGAAAGGTACATTGATAACCCTGAATGGTACATTGATAATCCTGAATGGTACATTGATAATCCTGAATGGTACATTGATAATATAATCCTGAATGGTACATTGATAATCCTGAATGGTACATTGATAATCCTGAAAGGTACATTGATAATCCTGAAAGGTACATTGATAATCTTGAATGGATCCGTGAGAGTTGTGGTACAAAGCAGACAGCAATAATGTGATTGTTTGCTGCCGGCATGCACAACACTTGTTTTAAACACAATAACTGTTTTACTTGCTTCTTCACCTTGCTTTTATGGTTTTATTGTGTGTACATAAGCCAGTGACTGGGACCCTTGAATGCTTATTGGTGCTTTGTTTTTCCAGAGTATTTCAGTCATGTGAGTCATGACGGAATGATTGGGTATGATTATCAGGAAGTGAAATGTGATATAAAATGTACATATAATTTATTAAATTTTTATCACTTCAGAGCTTGTATAATTCAGTCCTGTATTATTGAGATTATATGTAGGGACGAGAAGTGAAATATTTTAAAGCAAGAATATCTGTTGCAATGTTTACGAGTCTGTTTTTATGTAATCTTGTATGTTTGGATGTTTGATTTTAAAATAGGTTTTAGTAGATAATATTGAAAGAATATATAGATATTTGGTATTTCACCAGCATAATGATCTCTAACATAATATCTTTCAGCTGGTTTCTGTGCTAGAATTCTCCGAAAAGAGTACATATCTCTTTGTTGTAACATTTAAAAACGTGGTCTGTCACATTTTGTTAACTTATGATATCGTGCATGTTGTGATATTTGAGGGGTGATAAGGTTCAATGGAAATACTTGAATTTGCGCAGTTTTAGCATGCGATTCTCAAATTTCCTTGCAGTCAAGCCATTTGCAGCAACCATTTTGTTACTTGTTTGCATGAGAGTTTAATTCAGACTCATTGTGGTAGTGTAATGCAATCCAGTTAAGCATCATGTATTGGGGTAAGATAAATCTAGTTTTTCACAACTTGATAAAATTTTGAAATTCAATACAGAATATATAGAGGAATGATGCATCATGTATCAATTCATCAGACGTACATTTGTGATGTATCCTACTGAAAACAAACCCTACTTGAGAATTGTGGTTTGGAGACTCCAGGGTTGACATGAGATGTTTTAGGAATGAGTATATGGATAAAAAATACCAGTCAGACTCTTCAGATTATTCTTACTTGCCATGTTTGAAGTGATATTCATTACATGAACAGAATGCCATCCCACACACAATATTTGTTTTGTAACTAATCTGTAGATTGTAAGTGAAACTTTTGTGCCACGAGATTTATCACACAGCTAGGCGCTAGCAGAGGTGTAGTTCCAAGGAAGGAGTGTGTCACACATACTTGTAGGTTCAAACTCTCAAACCTCATATGGTAATGTACAGCAGCCTGTTCCATGAAGCAACCTTCAACGTAATATTGTCATGGTAACAGTGGGACTCTTGCTTTGTTGGGCAGTCCCTTGGTACTTGTTGACAGTATTTGTCAGTTCCATGCAGCCAGTGGACCAACCCTCCACACAATCCTCATCTTTATTATATACCCATGTAAACTTAGGATAGTAATACAGGAGTGTAATACGGATGAAGTGGTCAAATTCGATAATGCACCCCAGATTCCATATTGAACGTTGCTACGCTATGATTTGTTTTATTAAGTAACAGATTAATGCAAGATAAGAGGGTATATAATAAATATAGAACATCATACTAGTGCATTTGGATGTTTTGTATTGAACGAGATGTTATGGGAACAGAGAAACAAGTTTGAAGAACGAGTTGTTTTTCTGCTCCCATGACATTTTAGTATGACGTTCTCTATGTTTATTGGATCAGAAATATGTGTATCATCCAGACTTGGCTTCCATGGAGATAGTACTTGGGTGAGATCAGACATTATCTCCCACATAGAAATTTCATCCCAGTGCAGACCAATGTGATGTCATGACAGTGCCATGACATCAGTAATCCCCTGCCCCTGACATTGTAGCTGTACTTTTATGTTGAAGACACCAGTTAAACAGAAACACTTGGAACAGTTACTTTGGATGATAGATATAGTTTCAACCTGATGTCTTCCAATCTCAAATATATCAAGATTCTATGATAAACTTAATAATTTCCTCATCAAGCCTTGGTTATTTGTAAATTTCATCAACCCGTCTTGATATATGTGATCTTGGAAGAGTCTTTGGTGATATTCTCTATATGGTGGCACTCATACTGACAGTGGTATACTGGGGTATGTCTGTATTTGATAATCATACTAATGGTGAACTACCTGGAAATGGATTCTTACATCAGTGTGCTGTTGTTGTTCGCTATGAGTGTCAAGTCTCTGTCAATATGTTGGAGTTACGATCACCTTAGCACTAAGACTGTCGTGAAGAGGATGAGATGTGAGAGTTCTGATCACCTTAGCACTAAGACTGTTGTAAGTGTATGATGAGATGAGAGTTGATCACCTTAGCACTAAGACTGTTGAAGTCTATGTTAAGATGTGGGGTTAGGATCACCTTAGCACTAAGATTGTTGTAAGTCTATGGCGAGATGTGAGAAGATCACCTTAGCACTAAGACTGTTGTAAGTCTATGACGAGAGATGTGAGAGTTACGATCACCTTAGCACTAAGACTGTGTAAGTCTATGTTAAGATGTGGGGGTTAGGATCACCTTAGCACTAAGACTGTTGTAAGTCTATGACGAGATGTGAGGTTACGATCACCTTAGCACTAAGACTGTCGTAAGTCTATGTTAAGATGTGGGGGTTACGATCACCTTAGCACTAAGACTGTCGTAAGTCTATGTTAAGATGTGGGGGTTACGATCACCTTAGATTTCTTTATGCAGCCAACACCCAGGTGTCTAACCATCTGTCAGTGTAAGAATAGATAGTTTGAAATATTGGGACCTCTATGCATTTAGTCATATTTGACATTTATCATAAATTGAAGATAATGGGCATGCATATTCAACTTGCACATACACATAGAGCTTGGGTTTTGTTTTCAAAAAGGGTCTGAAATTGGGAATTCATATCTTTAGATAAAGAACTGTGGCATTTCATTTATCACATTCAAAATCAACATACTAGTAGATTTAGCCCAATATACTCCAGACTAAAGATATTTGTAGTGTTAGATTTAGATTTATGTAGTATTTACCAGCAAATTATTTGTATTTTCTGAAGAGCCAACGATTCCTTAAAAGTAACTTAGGGGTGACAAATAAACCGATAAAAGGGGATGTCCTGGTGATAATCCCTGTGGGCACAGTATCTTGGCCCTGCTGGAATCGGAGTTGGATGGTGAGGCTACCTGATGAAGTGGATGGTTAGACTTGCTGACTTGGATGATAGGGTGTCCTTGTTCCTAGATACAGTGGCTCGCTGCTCGCAGTATCGATCACTGGATTGTCTGGTTCACATTGGATTATTTACCATCTTATTGCAGGAATATTGCCAAGCTTCGTGGTACACGGTGTTACTGAAGCTGTTGTGACACGCGAGGACCCATGTCACTTGACATTGACAGCAGTTGGCACTAAACCAAGTGATGGTCCTTGTCCGATGTTGCCGATGAATGCCTTGTGATGTCAGTGTGATCAAGTGGTCCATGAGTTCGTTTTCTGAAGTGAGACCAGACCAATTTTATTTCCCGGCAGGAGGGAAAAAAAAAATCACCAGTCAAAGCAAAAACCCACATGAATTTTTCAAAGGCATTGTTTTTCAAGTTCACACTCGCTGAGGTGCTTGAAGCACTTATTTCACAAGTCTCTGAGAACAGATACCTGTGTTTTAGTGACCAACAAATTGCCTTGCGTAGTCAGTCTCGCTCCCGTATATCTTGATATTAGGATTTTTTTTTTCGAGTGGGGAAATTTGTTTAAATATTTTTTTTCCTATTCTTGAAAAAATACGACTGGTGGATCCATAAAACAAGAATTAAAATTGGTCTGACCTGAGCAGTACACGTGAATTGATCCAGTAGGATAGGGGGTGGTGACGTAGCCTAGTGGTTAAAGCCTTTGCTCGTCATGCTGAACGCCTGGGTTCGATTCCCCACATGGGTACAATGTTTGAAGCCCATTTCTGGTGTTTCCCTGCCGTGATATTGCTAGATTGTTGCTAAAAGCGGTGTAAAACCCAGCTCACTCACTCACTCAGTAGGAGGTATATGTGCCCATAGTGGATGTGAAGTATTTATTGTGTGTTAAATATAGTCAGAGTTATGTTCTGCCGGTTATCTGAACACTGCCAGAAATACTGATGATTGTTCACTCACTGTTATCAATAGATAAGATATTTACATAAAGAAGTATCAGTTTAGCGTGAAACAAGCACCTTTCATGGCTCATAACACAATTGCTACATGATTTACAAGAGTCTATTTTTACACGTGAATACTCTCTATTGAGTCTAAACAACTGGGTTGCTTGTAATTCTATATTTTATGATTGTACATAAGTTAGTGATGGTTGACGATTCAGCAAGCAAGGCTCATCTGTGTTTGTACCTGCACATCTATACAAACACTGGAATGCTTTTACCAACACTATCATGTTTGTCCTTTCACTGCTTTCACATCATGTGAATGTTATTAAAATTTATAATGATGAACCCTTGTGTCGTTATTTCTTCAAGACCTGGAGCAGCTGGAGTTGATGTAGTTGTACAGTGTTGCCAGGAAGATTGGGAGTGAAGACTGTGAGTGGATTGTGTTAGAGGCCAGGAAGACTGGGAGT